CTGGTGTCTGTGGTGTAATGGTCCAAGAACAGAGCTAGCATTCAAAAGAGGTGGTTTCTAGTCCTGCCAGCTCTTGATTTCTGTTATGCAAAGAATCTCATACACCAACATTTTCAAATGTGCCTGCCTAACACTAGGCAGCTAGATCCATACTTAAGCACCAAAGATCCAGATGCTCATCTTTGCAAAAGTCAGGAGCACAAGAAGCTCCCGCTATTATTATTTGGTGGCAATATCTTTAAAAGCATCTAAAAGACTTAGCTCATTATGCGGTGTCAAGGTTGACTGTAGTTTGACTAAGAAGTTAGATCATGGATTTGTATTTGGATGGTTTGGATAGGGATGGTCGTGCCTCAGGAACAGGGTTGGACTAGACCTAGGGAGGTCTCTTCCAGCCCTGCTTCTCTCTGAGTCTATGACTTTCAGTAGGATTTAAGGCAGGGGCAGGCAATTATTTTGGGCAAAGGCCACTTACTGAGTTTTGGCAAGCCATCATGGGCTGCATGACAGGCAGCCCAGGGCAGATCAATATTAATTTTCTAAATTTTTTAAGGGCCCCACGGGCTGGATAGAATGGCCTGGTGGGCCGCATCCGGCCCCCGAGCTGCATTTTGCCCACCCCTGATTTAAGGTCATAAATCACTTAGGTTCTTCTGGAAAGCCTAACTTAGATGCTTACATGCCTTTTTAAATTTTCCTAAACAACTACTTTACCACATTGACAGTGCTCCTCTACCTGGTCTGGATGTCCTTTGAGAATTTCTCTGCTAGTCTGTCAAGGTTCTTTGGGTAGACATGATCTCTTTTATTAGACCAACTAAATAGTTGGAAAAATTGTTCTTTGCAAGCTTTCAGGCACAAACACCCTTCTTCAGGCCTGCCAGCCCCCTTCTACCTGCACATGACAAAGAACTTTATCTGCCTAGGTCCTTAGGCCAGCAGGGGCGTTTGTACACGTCACGGTTTTTGCCCTTTCCTGCAACAGCGTGACTGTCTGCACAGACTACAACCAACAACCTCTCCAGCCTTTTACAGGCATCATTATTTTGGGCCACTAGATGGCTTCCTAATCCAACAGATAGAAACTTGAAGCCTCATATGAAGTAACTCTTGGGTTTAGGTCGGTTAAAGTCTGCAGATTTTCTCGTTGCTGGTTCACAAAAAATATGCTGTCATAAGAACAATGTCACAAAAAAAAAAAAAGCAACGGGTTCCAGCACAGCCAGATACACCACTGGGGGAGAAAAAGAGTGGGGAACAACCTCCTTGAGTTTTTTGTTAGTTCTGCCTTGATGAGATGAGGCTTTCTAGTTGCAGCCACAATTATTAACTGTGCAAAAGCAGCAGCTCCCAGTGCAAATGTAGCAGGCAGAACCTCCTCACCAGAGCTGCCACTGTTTGCTTACCAGTGCAATCAGCAATGTCAGGGGACCGGATTACAACACATTTACCCCTTACCTACTTACGACACGTGCTGGGTAGCCTTGATGGGACCTCGCTGTGTTGCAACCCGGCCATGGAACTGGACACAAGACTTGGACAAGCAAAGGGCAATGGATGTTGTGGGATGAGAGAGACTCTGAGCCCCCACCCCAGCCTGGCTTTTCTACTGCCCTGACCCTCAAGGGTGGCAATAGTCATTTTGACATCTGTGCTGAGAACATCTGGCCAACGGGCTGAAAACTTCAAACCAATAAAGCACAAGGGCAATGGCAATAGGTTTTGGTTGTCACCAGCCTGTGCTGGATGAGGACCAGCAACCAGAAGTGCAAGGTGCTGTGGCAGGGAAATAGAATAACAGAATCATAGACAATGAGGGTTGGGAGGGACCTCCGCTAGTCCGGCATTTCTCTACCTGTGGCTTACGACCCAGAAGTGGGTCACAAGACTATATGAAAGGCTTGCGAACAAACTTTTAAAACGGATCAACAAGCTTGAAAGGGGCTCCTGATGCCCTCCCACCCCACACACTGGAAAGCTGAGCCCTGGGGGCAGCGAATCGGGAGTGAGGGGCCCTGGGACTGGCCATCCATGTTCACAAATGGGTCCCGGTACCAAAAAAAGAAACCACGGATCTAGTCCAACCCCCTGCTCCAAGCGGGACCATCTGCAATGGGGTGAAGTCTCCTGGGTGCACCTGAGGCTCTTGGGCAGGCAGTCCCCTCCACCCAGGAGGGCTTCTGCTTTTCCCCCTGCCTGCCATCGGGGCGGGGAGAGGTGGGCTGCAAGAGCAGCAAAGCCCCGCGCGGCCCCGGCTCGCCGCAGCCCGGGGAGGACGAGCCCGCGCGGGTGTTTCCGTGCGGGGCTCCGGGGGAGGGCAGAGCTGAGGCAGCCACTCACAGGAACAGTAGTGCAATCTCCCCAACACTTTCACTGTCAATCAGGCTTAATGGGGTATAAAAAAAACCTCCCCAGCGCCGGGGCGGTGACAGGCAGAGAGAGCAATGGCTGGGGAGCAGTGCCCGCCTCCTGCCAGTGCGAAAAAGCCTCTGTAGCTATTTCTATATATATATATATATATATATTAAAGAAAAGAGGGGGGTAAAAAAAAAACCAACCTTACACTGAATAGACCCTTTCTTAAACAGAAACTCCTGGCAATCCTCTCTCTCCTTTAAGCCATTTCCTGAGTCTCAGAATAGGAGGGAGCTGCCTGCGGGCTGACGTTTGGACACAGGCGGCTCGCTTTGATTTTTCTTCTTCTCTGGTTTTTTTTTTTTTTTTTTTTTCTGGTTTTGGGGGGGGGGGTTTGGGGTTTCCTCCAAAACCTAAGCCCCTGCCCGTCGGAAGCTGGATGTGAGCCGGGCCCCTGGGGAGGGGGCGCTGCCTCCCGCGCACCTGGGTGCTTGCCACCCAGCCCGGCCGTCCCGGGCTACCTGCCCGTCGCAGGGGACGCGGCTGGGTGGTCTGCGGCCCCGGGATCTTTCCAGCTGGAGGTTTTGCTTTTGTGCTTGTCTTGGTTTTTTGCACGGGAGGATGGGCTGGAGGTGGCTGGGCGCCCTGCTGCTGCTCCCGGTGCAGCTGCTGTGGCTGGCGGGGAAGGCGGCGGCGTGCCTGGTGCTGCCGCCCCGGCTGCGGGACCTGTCCCGGGAGAGCGTGCTCATCACCGGCGGGGGCAGAGGCATCGGCCGCCACCTGGCCACGGAGTTTGCCAAGCGAGGAGCCAGAAAGGTGAGGGGCGTGATGCCAGGCTCGGGTGGGGAGGCATTGCACAGGTGCGGGGGTGCCTTGCACAGAAGTGACTCCAAGCGCCTTGCCACGCGCGGGGGCTGCTCTGCCGGGACGGGTGCTAGGAGCTCTCATGGAAGAGGGGACGTGGGCAGTGGGGGGGCTGTTGAAGGCAAGGGGGTGTGGAGGGGAAGCACCTTGTGTTTCCCAGCGCAGCCCAGTCTGGGAGCAGAGCTGTGAAGCCAGGGGAGGGGTGAGAAAGTACTGGAGAGGCTTGTTGGTTTCTGAAAAGCTGTTCTTGTTAGCATTGCATTTATAAAGTGGCACATGATCAGGAGGACGTGGTGGCTTCGCTCTCCAGGTCCCTTGCTGCCTTCCCCAACAGCGTCCTTTATTGACATGCAGAAAAACTAGACCTCTTGGCTCCAAAATGATACCTTTTGTTAAACCAACTGGAAACCGGCAAGAAAAGTATCCTTTTCTTTCAAGCTTTCGGGATCCAAGTCCCTTCATCAGGCTCTGGGAAAAGTGTAGATGGTACAAGATGGACAAGGTTCTTTGGGTCCTTAGACCAGCACAGCTAAACCTACACCTGATGGTACAAGATGGCTCTTTATTGAGCCATCTACAGCCAGCGGCTGCTCTTGGTTACTCCATTGCTAGCCACTGGGAGAGGGCAGATTATGGATGGCCCCTCCGTGTTGTCCAAGGTGGTAGTGAAGCCAGCTGCATTGCTCCCTCAAGATTGAATGCAGTTTCAAGAGAGCATACACAGACGAGGTCCTTTGGGTAAATGCAGTATCTTTGATTAGACCAATGCAAATCATTGGAAAACTTCTTAGCAAGCTTTTGGGCGCCAAGTTTTCCTGTCTTCCACTGCCTTGCTCTGAGACAAATTCTTTGGGTAAATGTGATATCAAAGCCTCTTTTTCCATGCAATGTGGTGCTCTTATAAAGGATGCAAACCCTCTGGTGACGTAGCAGCGTTCTCTACTTTTATGCTTCGCTTGCAGATAACAGGAAAAAAAACTCAAGAGGGGTCTTAAAAAAAATGCACATTGTGAAGGCAAAAAAGACAGCAGATGCAGAAGAATTAAATATTCTATTTTTTGGCTCTTCCCTCTCCCATTGCAGTTAATTGCTTCAGATAGTTGTGTGCCTGAAATCATCTGTTATAATTAATCGTTCCGCGGCGATTCAGATGGGTGGTACAGTATAGCCCTATTAAAATTTTAAAAAAAGAAACCCCTTCACCCATGGTGGGAAATTCAGAGGTCACAAATGTTGCACGAAGGGGAGCAGAAACCATGACATGAAGAGTCAGGTTCGAGTTGTGGATGCCCGGTGTATCTGGACAGATCCAACACTGCGCCTGTGCACACAGGCATAGTGGCAGCGTTACAGAGGTAGGCGGCGATATACACCATCTATTTGAGATTAGTATCTTCTCACAGACAGGTTAGTTAATACAGCTAGTGTATAAGTTGCACATGACAATTAAACTGGGATTGGCTATCATTTTAGATCCAATTTTTGGCAGGGACAGGTTTGTTCAGCCCACACGAGGTACTTCTAAACAGAGTCTATGTGACGGTGCAAGGGAATACCGCAAGAGCTACATCTCCCCAAGATGCGTTTAAAAAAAAAAAAAAATTGGCGACACCAAAGCATCTTTAATGCTAAAATGTGACATTTCCCGTTGGCACGCTTGCAAGTGGTGCAAAACAGATTTACAGCGTGCACGCATCGGAGTGGCACTTGTGAAAAGCGCTGGCTTGATGGCGCTGGCAAGTGACATCTTACCAACAAGACAGAAACAGCACAGGCATTGAGAAAACCCTCCTCTTCCCCTCCTTACTTCCACTGTCCAGCCAGTATACTTCAAACTGGATGGGACAGGTCATGTCTCAGACAATTTTCTTTAACTCTATTCCAGTCTCTTGATTCATTCATTTGTTGGCCTCTCTCTTTTGACATTGCCAACAAGGGGACGAATTAGTGCCAGTTGCAGCCAAGGTTTTAGTACATTAGCACCTGTCTACTAGGTTTTGGACTGAGACCCCATGACCATCAGGTAGTAAGATATTTGGGTATTAGTGATCCAGGGAGAACACATGCCATGGATATCTCACAGATAAAAACCTTTGTCTTCCACTATTTGTGTCCCAAAGCCTTTCTGATGCGGTAGGGGGGAAGGTTTTCAAACTCCACATTTCAATCAGCAGATGGCCCAGTGTAAAGGGAATTAGGACTGAAGCATATTTGAAGCGCTAATGCTGCTTCTCCCATGACGTGTCCAATTTCAGAACAGTTGATTGCAAAGGTCAGTTTATTTATATTTGGGGTTTATCTCGACTACTGGTCAGGTCTCCTGAGAGCAGGTTTTTCTTTTGTTTTCAGTTGCTAATTGGTTGCCTGGAAAACTCAGAAGATTGGGCATGCTATTGGCTGCGACTTAGACTGGTTAACTGCATAATTAGGTTCATTTGAGCAAGAGAGCAAAGCGGCGTTTGCAGGCTTATGTCAAACTCAGCCGTTGGCTGTATTGCGACACATGCAGCTTTCAGTCTTGAGCCACAGACAACATGGAAAAAAAAAGCCTCAGAGTTTGATCTTGATTTCGGTTTATGGAGTTGAGCACTTGTGTGCCTAGCCTATAAGAATACAGGTCTAATTTATCATTGCGCTGTTTCCTAACCGGGCCTTGAAATGGAAGTGTTATTGATGTAATATTGGGAATTTCAAGCTCCCTGGACATAACGCCCCATCAAGGGAGTGAACTCATGCAGATGTAGGGGGTGTAGGTTGTAGCCCTGTTGGTCAAAGGACAGAGGCAGAGAAGTCAGCAGGGACATAAGTGCTGGATGGCTGAGTCGAATCACTCATTGATGGTTACGGTTAGCCGGTATTGCATAGTTCCTTTGGTTCAACCTCCTGCATCAGTATCCAGTGGACAAGTCTCATCATAAATCTGGCCAACCTGTTTTTGATCATCGCCAACAATGGAGCCTTGACAATTGCACCGGGTGTTGCTCTGTTGTTGATTCATCCTTTCATTTCAGGCATTTTTCTTGATGCCTGACTTCTCCATTTCTAATTTTAAGTTACTCTGTTGGTGGTTTATTTATTGAAACCAAGCCGTGACTAAACACACGAGGAGTTATTCTGACCTGATACATCCTGGAATGTTTATCACTGCCAAAAACACAATTAAACCTAACAACAACACAACGAGATACAGTTACAACGGAGAGACGGCCTCCAACCACACTCCCTTGCTGCATCCTGATTTTGGGGATGGAGTGGCGGCTCCTCAAACAGTTGATTTTCACTGAGCGCTGCCTTGATTAGCACAAAGCCTGAGCTCAGATAAGATCAGGAGCATTCCCCCAAAGGGCCTTAATTATTGCAATTTTCCTTTGCTGCTGTTTTGTCCATTCTTTCTGTTTTGAGGGTTGGGGGTTTTTTCTTAGTAGTACGTATAGTTTAGTTTTTAAAACCTTTCTAGGTAGGCCTGCCCTTATCTTGTCCTCCAGCAGCGTGCTGTTTGCTTCTTTTAGCAATTGTACTTGCTGTACAATGAACCGACAGGGGATGGCTATCAGGGAAGGAGGAAAAAAACTCTTGCTTGATGGCATGAATCAACTGTCACCAAGAAAGACACCAGAAACTCCCCATCTCACGTGGTACATGTTTTTTGCAGCCATGACCTCACTGCACCAGTACTTGGATCTAGACAGTTATATCATTTAAGTCTGCAAAATACTATTAACCTTAATGACAGCATGGTGGGCAGCTGTGAAATGCCACACACACATGCAAACACAAGGGTAATTACCAGTGGATGGGGGGGCGGGGGGAAGATAACTTGCAAAGTCTTGCTGTAAAAATGGAGCCTGACTGTAGGACAGGCTTTTATTTCATCCTTCAAACACCTTGTCTGGCCTAAGAAGTAGCACTGAAGTATTGACAAAATGCCCAGTCTAATACTGGAAATACTACTAATGTATCCTTGTTGGAGGTGCATGGCAAGTGGATGGTTTTTAGGCACGTAATTTCCACTGCTTCTCATGGAAGTTCAGATATCTTGCCTCATCTCAGTATTTTGACTGCACTTGTGGAGGCTACACAGGTTGCATCAGAGATCTCTCTCAGAATAAAGAGCCTGCCATCAGATGCTTAATCAAAGCATTTTAATCTGTCACAGGAACAGACAAGCTTCATGGGCGGTAACCTTGCTCAAAAGACAACCAATAGCCCAGGAGGACAAAGACGTGAACTTTGAGATATGGAGGGACCCCCCCTTTTCATGTCTAATTGTATTGGGAGGGCTGATCTTGAATTCCCCAAATAATCTAGGTTTTGTTGCTTCCTGTTTCAAACCATATTTTAATCTCTTCTGCATGCCTACCTGTGTGTTTGTGCACAGCCAGACCACAGTCATCAACGGGATCTCTGAGGCTACTGCAATATTGGGCAAATTTAACTGCGTGTTAAATGTGGTTTATAAGTGCTTATAATTCGCACAGATGAGAGAGACAGAGAGAGTAAGAGTTTAACACCACAAGAGCAGATCTTTCTAGCGTGAGGAACAGAGTTGGTTTTCTTATCAAAAAGAGGGAGGAGTTGATCCTCCTTGAAACATAATTCACCCTCTTGGGTGCATTTGTTCCAAGCCATGCGATCTGACACTGTGAAGTCAAAAACTATGTAAGAGCATTGTTTATACAATAAAAATGATCATTTCGATCCAGGTGTGCATGCTGCATCTGTACCTGGAAAGAGTATTGTGCAACCAAGCATTCAGTTAGCTTTATATGTAAATATTTCTGAAAGAGCACCCAGCATATGTGCTTTGAGATCATCAAGACAACCGCTATCAATAAATAAGTACTTTGCACTGATTGCTTTGATTGCTCTGCAGAAAACATAGGAGGATGCTAGGACAGCTGGTCAAAGTCCATATATAAGGGTGGAGTTACTCAAACTAGACACCTGCCAGG